ATGTTCTGGAGGAAAGTACTCTTCGCACAAGTAATGATAATTGACGTGTCCGGTGTCTTTGGTGGTGATGGCGGCATGGGCGGTGACCATGGTGGCTCCCCCCCCCCCTCCAGCGACATTCTAACTGCCGCTCTGCCCTGCCTCAAGACCATCCTTATTTAACTCTGTCCCCCTCCCCCCGCATGTGGATGTGCTGGTTTCCCCACCGTTTGAGGAGGGGGGGGGTGAGGCCTGACTGAGCTCACAGATGGTCAATAATGATTTTTGCTACATTGGATGTCATTTTACAGGCCTTGTAGAAACGAGTAGCATGCGAGGAGCTGATAGCGGCCGAAATGAATCAGAACTGCAGGTTCTTTGGGAATACCCGTGCGTTGCGAAAATGTTCTGGAGAGAAGTACTCTTCGCACAAGTAATGATAACTGGCGAGAGGGGGAGGCGATAAGATGTGGTTATGTAGCCCCACCTGATGGCCACAATACTGTTAGGGTTAGGGTTACGGGTTAGGTTTAGGGGTTAGGGCAACTATTTCTCAACCACTCAAAGTACAACCGCACATTCCCGATAGCTTTTCCTTCGCATAAAACTACTTGATCTCGTCGCCTGTACGTTCCCCGGCCCCACCTGTAAAAACCCTTATTGCCATCAGTCCCGTATTACAGGCGGCTGCTGGGGTTTGTTTACCTCAGGTGCGGCTACATAACCACGGCTGACCGTTTTCTGTACACAGCAATTATTCCTTTTGAGTCATCATGATGTCCGGCAGATCAACATGGTGTATGACAAGCTGCTAGGTCGCAATACACAGGTAACTCAGAGCAGCGACTTGAATGGACCCAGAACCGTCCTTATGTGATGATCTGAACTATAATAAACAGGGAGTGGTTATGACTGAATGTCGAGTAGCGGCTATCCAGCGATGACGGCAGTACACTATCACGGAGACTACCCAGTTGCGCAAGTTGCACTCTGTTTGCAGCCCCTTACATTTGGTAGAGCGAAACATGGGTTTCAAGCAAACACAATGCAAAGGAAAGGAGACCGCTTAAAGCGTTCTGGTTGAATGGCAACCAGCAACAATATATGGCGTACTCCGCAGTGGATCAATGTTGACTAAGCAAATCAGTTCAGGTTTCAACCAGGAAGGATTGGCGGGCGAGCCCAGATTTGGAGGTAGAATATAGAAAGATTCTCTGACGAAAAGGACATCCAAAATATCCAAGACGATGAAGGTTTGACGGAGATTTGCTGAACTGATTGGTACTTCGGGGGTTGGGCATGTGGCACATGGAATTTCGTTCATGGCCACCCGTAATACTGTGGGGAGGGGTTACTTATTCCCCTGCCTCACTTTAATGCAAGGGCAGTCGGTTTTTTGATGAAAGCGTTGGCGGTTTGTGCTATGTGGGAGCACAAGGATTGCATTGGCTCCTAATATTATCATGCCTGACAGAAACGACTTTCCGGGCTCATCAAAAGTGCTCCGTTCAGTCTTTCAGACGCCCTCAGAGGCATTACGTGGCCCACCGAATCTCCTGACTTGAATAAAATTGGACTCACTAGGAATCAAATCCAACGGACGATTCTCGGTACTTTTATTTTGACTCAACTGTGAAAAGCTTGGCGACCTCGGCAGGATTCGAACCCATCACAGCAAGGGGAATATTTTAGTACATTCGAAGCTCTAGCCAGCTGGGCTACGAGGCCGCATCAGATTCCCAGAACATCGGAAGAGCAAACACTTTGCAAGTCCAGAATAGCTTTTGTAAATAGCTAGATAATGCTACAGTAGTGACTTAACATAGACACGATTTAGAGTTGAAATTGAGTAACTGTAGGACGAGTTAAAAAGTGCGGTAGTCGCTGAAATTGCAGGGACTTGGTATTCTTCATTGAGGGGTTCACGTACTGGTTAACAGGGTCTTCAGTCAAAGGAGGAGGACGCATTCACCGAGATCTGACGTTTTAGGTAGTGATTACACCTACTCATTATCTGGGGTCGTCAACTATAGCCGTGATGAACGAGAGCCGGAATCACTGTGATCAGGGTTACGCATGAAGACCACATTCGGCATGGACGACCAGCGTAGCATGCAAAATAACTCATATTCGGAGAGCTGTGAACAGAACTCACCAGTCCCTGAGGAGGGGTGGGCAAAATCCCCGATCGAAAAGTCAGGCCTCAAACAAACCACTCACAGTGGACGCCGCCTCTTCTTTTGACCACATCTGACCGGGGAGGCTGACGTTGCTTATGTAGCCCTGAAGTGTAAAATTTTTTCTCTACCTCACCGCGCAAAAATGCAAAGTACACAGAGATCCGTCGACGGAGTGCAGTAATAAAGCACTTCCTAAAGAGGTAACTTATTAAGGAAAGTTTTCTTATTGATCCAAGGCATATTCGTTGGTGACTTTCATTGTGGACAGTCATTTTTCTCGAAAATGAAGTTTGATTTTTGAATGAGTCTTCAAATGTGGCCCAAACGACCATCTTCGTGAAAAGGAGCGCCTGAACACCCAGTAATTCGGTAAATGCCTTCAAGAACAATCTTATTTTAAAGTTCTCAACAGACAGGTAATTCAGAATCTGTCTTTATGGGCGATTGGGTGAAAACACTGAAAATCATGAAGTATTGAGCAATATTTCGAGGCCGATCTGAAACTCAATGTAGTCCAAAACAAAAGAGGAGTATAAATTAATTTAACGGGAGAAAAGTTCTCTTTATAAACACATAATGGTATGTTTATGATTACGCCTGTCAGTTCTATTTGAATTTATTAGGTACCGACCGGCCTCATGGCATGTCACCTTATGAAAACCTTTGATCCTACGACGTCCCCATCGGCGAAATCAAGCAAAATCCAGCTTCTCTTGTTGAACCCCATCTCAGTTAACTTTAAATCGTTAATGAAATTATGAAACACTGGAAAACTGTTTTGCAATCTTCACTCGGAATGTGGGCAATTGACAAACCGTCATATATGAATTCACGCTAGTTATTAAACGATATTTAGATGTAAACTTCACTGAAATTCTGTTATTAGACGTGCTTTTATGTCAACTGCCATATTTACTACGTGTTTGGTATGAGAATACATTCTATACATCTTAAAACGAACTTTACTTAATTAGAGCCATTTCTGACGTTTTCGGGATATTGCGCTTTTCAAAATAAATCGACATTTCTAAACAACGCAACACTGCCTATAATATTTCTTTTATGTTTTTAATTATTTTGAACTTATACTTAATTAACATAGACATTTTACTCATGAA